TTAGCTTAATTTACCTTCAGCTTAGCTCCGCTGAGCTCTAGCATAGAAGAGCACAACATAGTATAGCATAGCGTGGCATGGCATGGCGCAGCACAGCAGGTCATAGCATAGCCCAGCATATCATAGCATAGCGCAGCATAGCATATCATATCATAACATAGCGCAGCACATCACATCACAACATAGCACAGCGCAGCATAACATAGCATAGCGGAGCAAAGCAACGCATAACATAGCAGCAACGCAAAGGCAAACCAACAGCAGCGACAGCAAAGCAAAGCACAAGCAACGCAAAGCAAAGCAACGCAAACGCAAACGCAACAGCAAAGCACAGGAAAGGCAACTCAAAAGCAATGTGCGACAGATGCCGAGCTAGCCTCGATGGCCGGACCAGAGCCCCCGCAAGCAATGCCTTCCGTAACCATTTCGGCTCAAGTCCGGAGGCCCTGCCACACAGCCGCCCACGCGCATGTCCCGAGGTTGGCGGAGTGAGGCCTTCAGCGGTGCTGCACAGCCCGCCTCGGCACCAGGTGGTGCTGCACAGCCCACCCGGCCTGTTGTGGCCATCGATGTGGGCGACGTCGCGTCCAAGCGGAATGACGATCAGCGGGTTGAAGGCAGCAAGATGTACACGGTTGTCGAGGATGGCTTCTGGTCGTTCGTTGTGCTTTTTGCGGCTGAGTACGGCCTGCAAGACATGCACTTCATCAGTCGCCCGACGCGGGGGACGTGGTACTCGCACCATGCCCGCCTGGGCAGGGTAGAGGCGTGGGTCGTCAGGCTGATCCGGAGCACAGGCTGGCTCGAGATGGGGATGCCTGACGCGAACATCCAGTTGACGTCTCAGAAGAGCGGGTGGGATGGTAAGGGTGTTGCTTCTCGGCACGTGCAGCTGACCCGCATGATCGACAACGATCTCGAGTGCTTATGGAGTGTCTTGAACGACGGAGTTGGCAACTCGGGCCTGTCGACCAGGCGGGGCAAGGGCCGCGTCCTCCAGCGCGCGCGCATCCGCCCTGTGGACAGCAGGCGGCGGCTTGATGAAGACGACGACTGGCTGGAGAGGTGCGACTCGTGGTTCCAGGTTGCGGAATACTTCCAGCTGGAGCCACTGGACATCTGGGATGAGTTGGCGAAGCTCGGGTCGCCGGCGATGCCCCACCCCGCGTCGCGCGGAGGCAGGCCCCTGACAGCGGCGAACGTGATCGATCTGCGTCAAAGAGGCGGTCGCCGCGAGCCTAACCGCAGTCGCGGCCGTCTGCGCCGTCGTCGCGGCGACGACGACGACGACGACGATCGCGCAGATGGGCCTCGCCGAGTTGAGGCCAGGCGCCGCGGGAGCGGTGGCGCTGCGCAGCCCGCGCTCCGAGCAGGGCCACGCAGCGCCAGCGGGGATGTCTCGGCGGCGCTGCAAAGCTCCGATGGCAGGATCACCGAGAGAACCTTGGTAGATATTGCGAGCGATGCGCTGACCGCTCAGGTCGCCTTCCACTCCCCGGCCAAGGGTAGTTATTGCTACTACTGTACTACTACTACTACTACTACTACTACTACTACTACTACTACTACTACTACTACTACTACTACTACTACTACTACTACTACTACTACTACGACTACTACTACTACTACTACTACTACTACTACTACTACTACTACTACTACTACTACTACTATACTACTACTACTACTACTACTACTACTACTACTACTACTACTACTACTACGACTACTACTACGACTACTACTACTACTACTACTACTACTACTACTACTACTACTACTACTACTACTACACTACTACTACTACTACTACTACTACTACTACTACTACTACGACTACGACTACGACTACTACTATACTACTACTACTACTACTACTACTACTACTACTACTATTACTACTACTACTACTACTACTACTACTACTACTACTACTACTACTACTACTACTACTACAATTTCCCTACCTAGGCTCTGCCTAGAAGGGTTTTTACTCTCTGGGCTTAAAGTGGCCGGGCAGTGGAAAGCGCCCCGGGCGGTTCCCCCGGCATCCGCCCCGCGGTTCCCCCAGTTACGTCCCCTTAGCTTGGCGTCGCTCATCTCATCTTAGCTTAGCTTATCCCATTTTAGCTTAGTTCAACTTCGCCTTAACGCAGGTTTATCTTAGCTTAACGGGCCACATAGCATGCCATATCATATCATAGCTTAGTACAGCACCGCGCAGTGTAACATGGCACAGCTTAGCACATCATGTCGTACCATATCATAGCATAGCAGAGCGCAGCATCTCATATCATACCATCGCATTACATAGCGCAACCTAGCATGGTATAGCATATCACAGCATAGCGTAGCAACGAAAGCTGCTTTCCTAGGGGCTCCAACTTCTAGGTAGGGTCGCACTGGGGTAATTTGGGATTATGTTTTGATTTCTGTTGGGATATGTTTTATTTTTCGTCGCAAATCTTCAGCAGGGGGACAGGCCCGACTTCAGCATACCCCCCTTTCCCTTTTCGCTTGAGACTCGATCCAGGGCAAGTCTGGGCAGGCGGAGGCCACCCGCCAAGGGCGGGCCGTCGTGGCGTCGTCGTCGTCGTCGTCGTCAACGCCGCCGTCGTCGTTGTCGTTGCCGTCGTCGTCGCTGGAGAGCGAGGAGAAGGAGGCGGAACAGGAGGGAGGAGGAGGATGATGATGGGGGGGGGGAAGAGGAGGAGGAGGAGGAGGAGGAGGAGGAGGAGGAGGAGGAGGAGGAGGGAGGAGGAGGAGGAGGAGGAGGAGGAGGAGGAGGAGGAGGAGGAGGAGGAGGAGGAGGAGGAGGAGGAGGGGGAGAAGGAGTCCTTCATCTCCTCCGGGCCGTCGGCCGATTCGTCGATTTGAAGTCCTGGTCAGAGCACCCTGGGGTCGATCTCAGATGTGGACGGGGGGGCAGAGGAAGACGTAGGGGAGAAGGACGGGGGTTTACACCGTCCTTCTGTCCTGTCCTTCTCACGGGAAGGATAAGGGTGAATTGTGAAAAAGGGCCCGCAGAGCTGGATACCTGGCTCTCGCGGGACGCCTGGGCGCGATGATGATGGTGAGGATGATGATGATGACGATGATGATGGTGACGATAGCGATGATGAAGAATCATTAGAAGAATTTGATGATGAAGATGACGATGATGATGCTGATTCTGATTTTGATTATGAGGATGCTGATGGTGAGGATGAGGATGATGATGGTGATGATGCTGATTGTGATGATGATGACGACGATGGTGGTGATGGTTATGCTGCTGGTGCCTCTGATGATGCTGGTGATGATGTTGATGACGCTTCTGATGCTGATGCTGATGATGATGATGTCGATGATAGTGATTATGCTTATGATGGTGGCAGTGGTGATGTTGATGACGATAGTGATGACGATGCCGATGCTGATGATGCTGATGATGAGGTGGACGCTGATGCTGATCCCGATGCCGATGCTAATGATGATGATGACGATGATGTTGTGCTGGTGATGAATATGATGAGGCTGATGCTGTTGATGTCGATGATGGTGATGGTGCTTGTGATGGGGATGGTGGTAATACTGCTCATGACGGTGATGTTGACGATGTCGACGATGATGATTCTGCTGATTATGATGCTGATGCTACTGAGGCTGATAAGGCTGAGGACGATGATGATGATGATGCTTACGGTGAAGGCGATAGTGATGGCGATGAGAAGGATGAGCATGATGAGGAGGATGAGGATGATGATGGTCAAGATGCGCATGCTGATGCTTATGCTGATGCTGATGCTTATGACGACGAGGTAGGTGGTGATGATGAGGATGATGGTGATGATGATGATGATGGCACCGGTGACAATGCTGCTGATGGCAACGCTGATGATGATGATGGTGATGATGCTGATGGTGATGCTGATGGTGTTGAGGATGGTGATGGTACGGCTGAGGATGTGGATGGAGATGGGGGTTGGGATGGGGGTGGCGATGATGATTAGGATGAGGATGAGGATGATGATGATGATGATGATGATGATGCTGGTGGCGGTGCTGATGCTGATGAGTGTGCTGAGATTGATGATGCCGATGATGTTTATGATCCCGATGATGATGATGCTGATACTGATGATGATGATGATGATGATGATGATGATGATGCTGATTGAGATGATCATGATGATGACGATGCTGATGGTGATGGTGATGCTGACATCGATGATGATGATGATGATGCTGATGATGATGATGATGATGATGATGCTGTTGATGTTGATACCGGCGACGACGCTGATGATTCGGATGACGACGTTGATAACATTTGTTATGATGATGGTGGCTTTGATGATGTTGATGCTGATGTCGAGCATGATGATGCTGATGGTGATGATATGTATGATCATCCTGATGGTGATGATCATGTGGTTTTGCTGATGCGAGTGATGCTGATTGTGGTGATAATGTTGATGGCGCTGGTGATAGTGATGGTGATGGTGATGATGGTGTCCGTGGTGACGGTGATGATGGTGATGAGGAGGAGGAGGAGGAAGAGGAGGAAGAGGAGGAAGAGGAGGAAGAGAAGAAGAGGAGGAGGCGGATAAACAGTCGGAGGTGGAAGAGGATAATCACGAGGACGATAATGAGGGGGGACACGAGACTGAGGCCGAACACGAGGAGGCGGAGATGGACTTGGAGGGGGCGGGGGAGGGGGAGGAGCCTGTGCCAGCGCGTCGGACGAGGAGTCTGACGAGGACGAGGATGAGGGCGAGCACGAGACTGGGGCCGAACACGAGGAGGCGGAGATGGACTTGGAGAGGGCGGAGGAGGTGGAGGAGGAGGAGGAGGAGGAGGAGGAGGAGGAGGAGGAGGAGGGAGGAGGAGGAGGAGGAGGTGAAGGAGGAGGAGGAGGAGGAGGAGGGCAGAAGGGGGAGGAGGGAGGAGGAGGAGGAGGAGGAGGAGGGGGGAGGAAGAGGGAGGCAGAGAAGTCTGCGCCAGCGCGTCCGATGATGGCGGGGACGCTGCAAGTAGCCCAGCTCTCTGCCGCGGCGCGCGCCACCCGTGCCAATTCGGCCCTGCTCGTGGTGCGCTTGGCATCGCCTTGCCGGATCAGCCAGACCTCCTTTGGCAACGACCAGCTTCTGCTGCTCACGCGTCCGGCCTCTGGGGGGCACTTGTGGCACCCCAGGTTAGTCAGAGAAGGCGGCCCGGGGCGACGAGCCAGTGTCCGGGAGGAGGAGGAGGAGGAGGAGGAGGAGGAGGAGGAAGGAGGAAGGAGGAAGGAGGAAGGAGGAGGAGGAGGAGGATGAGACACGTGGTCGAGAGGTCTTGGGGCCCAGGGCAGGAAAGAGACGTGGTGGCATCGGAGGTCTGGCGGACCGCCTGCACGGGGGAGGCTGCCGACCTGAGCCTTCAAAGTGGGCGCTGGCAGGGGCTCGCCACGCCAAGCTGCTGGATCACAGCACGTCCTGTGCATCCGTGCGCGAAAAGGCGGCGGGCGCAGCAGTCCGGCCGGGGCTCGGGGCGGCGGCCCGTGCATGACAAGCGACATCGTTCGGGGCCCCGTCGGCAGCGCCGCCGCCCTCTCTGCCCGCCTCCGCCCCCCCCTCTCCGATCCCCGGACCTCCGACGGTTCCACGGGCTTACGCCACGTCCGCCGAACCCCCGAAGTGCAGATTCTTCCCTACGGATCCACAGGAGCGTCCAGGGTGATGGTGGTGTGTAGATATGAATGCGGGCATGACGAAGGAGGAGGAGGAGGAGGAGGAGGAGGAGGAGGAAGGGGAAGAAGAGAAGTCTCCGTCCCCCTTCTCCGATCCCCAGGCTTCCGGCAAAATTCGATCCCTTCGAGAGGCTGGCCTGGAGGTCTCGGCCCCCGTTCCCTGAGGCCGGCGTCTCGTCCTGAGTCGTCTCTGCCCCCCGGGATTATGATGTTTCGACTTACCTTAGCCTCGGTCACAAGAGAGAATCAGGAGCACCAGGAAAGTGCCCAAGCCAGGGAATTTTCACGTGCCGGGCCATGGGAGGCTATAATTGCTCGACATTTCGCTCGCGCGTTGGGCAGACATTCGATGGTTTTCTGGGTGCTCGACAGCAGCATAAACCCGGGCCAGCCGCCGCGGCGCTGGCGAAAACGCAGGCAGTACCAGGCACCGAGGATCGAGACCCGCTCAGAGGTCTCGAAGAGAGTTCTCGGACGAGTGATACCGCGCACTTTAACGGACGACAGCTCGGCACGGCCACTGACAGAGCATACCACGGTCGCTCGTTTCGGGTGTTCGTCCCCGGCCCCATGATATTTAATCGCTTCGCTCATTCCGCCGGCCCATAATGCGTAATCGCTGGGGTTTGGCTGCGCGTCCGTGAGCCATGCTGCGCTGATGGGGGGGGAGTTGTTTTCGGTGGTGGGTGCACCAGTCCGGTGTAGTTGGTTCGACGTTTGCGGCTGTCAGTGGTTTGTGGCGCCATCGTCTGCTCTCATGGGGCTCGCGGATGGTGGTTTGGCGCGGTCCGCCAATGGAGCCCCGCTTTCTGGAGGTTCCAGGGTTCGGTCGGGCTTTGCCTGCGGTTGCCTCGGCGTGTTTAGGGGTGCTCTGTTTGTGGTGCGAGGGTGTTGGAGTCAGTGGTCTTCGTACTTGGATGCATCGTTTGCAATTGTGGGTCCGTTCGCATACGGTCATGCCTATGGTCGGGGAGGGGAACTGAGAGCCTCCGCCGCTTCGGGAAGCATCCTCGTCGCCGCCGTCGTCGTCGTCGTCGTCGTCGTCGTCGCCGTCGTCGCCGTCGTCGTCGCCGCGGTGTGCCATATGTTGGTGAGCTCGTGGCGAGCGAAAAAGAGGAGGAGGGAGGCGGGGAAAATCTTGTATCAATTGTGCTTTATGTTGGCGTGCTCGTGGCGAGCGAGAAGGAGGAGGAGGAGGGGGACATTTGGGAGCCAAGTTTGGTCGTGGACAAGACGCGTTTTTTAGAGGCCGTTTGGGGTCTCTTGGGAAGCCTCTCGAGGGCCTCTTGGCAGTATTTCTAGAGCCTCCTGGGACCTCCTGGTGGCCTCTTGGGGCCTGTTGGGGGCCTCTTGGGGCCTCTCGGGGGCCTCTTGGGGGCGTTATGAGGTCTCCTGGGGACGTCTTGCGGCTTAGAGCGCGAAATGTCCGTTCCGGTCCCCCGTCGGGGCCCGGTCTTGGAGCCGTCTTGGGGGCATCTTGGGCCATCTTGGGGGTTTCTGGGGGTCTCTGAGGGCCCTCTGGGGTCGTTTCGGAACGGTCTTGAACCCTCGTAGGCCGTATTGGGGCGATATTGAGGGCTTTGTGGGCCGTCTTGGAGCGCTAGGAAGCCGAAGAGGCGAGAACGCCAAAATTTCAAAAAACCAATGAGGATCATACATTTTGGCTTGTTGGGGGCCTCTTGGGAGGTCTCTTGGACGCATCTTGGGGCGTCTTGGGGGCATCTTGGGCCGTCTTGAGGCCTCTTGGGGGCGTTATGAGGTCTCCTGGGGACGTCTTGCGGCTTAGAGCGCGAAATGTCCGTTCCGGTCCCCCGTCGGGGCCCGGTCTTGGAGCCGTCTTGGGGGCATCTTGGGCCATCTTGGGGGGTTTCTTGGGGTCTCTCAGGGCCCTCTGGGGTCGTTTCGGAACAGTCTTGAACCCTCGTAGGCCGTATGGGGGCGATATTGAAGGCTTTTTGGGCCGTCTTGAAGTGCTAGTAAGCCGAAGGGGCGAGAACGTCAAAATCAGCAAAAAAACAATGAAAATCATCAATTTTGGCTTGTTGGGGGCCTCTTGGGAGGTCTCTTGGACGCATCTTGGGGCGTCTTGGGGGCATCTTGGGCCGTCTTGAGGCCATCTGGGCCGTCTTGGGGCGCTCTTGGCAGGCTGCTGGGCCTGCCACATATTTGGCGTCTCCTTGGAGCGCTCCTGGAGCGCTCCAGAGGCCTCAAGGGCCGCGCCCAGGAAGTCCAGCATCTCTGGCCCCCACCCTGCCGGGGACCTGCCGGGGTACTTTTCGCCCGGGAACTCCTAGGGGCTGCCCCGCGCGCGCGAACTAGAAATACTGTTTACCTGTTGCCGGCGATCTTAGCACGCCCTGGCCCGTTGGGCCGGCGAATTTTGACACGGGACGAGGTCGAGGATGCCGCTTGACTTGCCTCAGCCTCCTCCGCTTTTAGACCTTCTCGCGGCTTCAAGCCCCTCCTCGTCCTCGTGTCAGAAGCCATGGCTCGCGCCATCCGCCTTCCTCACAGTAGGCACACTGAAGGAGGAACTGGCCTGACAACGGGTGCCCCCCACGACACTCTCTTGTCGCTTCATGGGGCCGCAGAAGCCAAGAGCACCGTGCAAAGCCCAGAGAGTCGACGAAGGATGTCGCCCTAGATTCCTTGGAGCAAGAGCTCTTGTCGTATGCGCCCTCAGGAGAGACTTTTTGGTGCCCTTGTAGGCTACACCGAGATGTTATGTGTGACCTGCGCCTGGCCAGCAGTCGCCAGAACGAGGGGGTGACTTGCTTTCGAGTTTCGGAGCCCCGTTCTCAGTTCTCATCGGGGGGACTGCATTTTATGCAATTGCGGGATCACGCTGTGGCGTGACAGCGAGGCGAGCGTCGTGCGGTTCGGAGTGGATGGTTCATGGCGAGGTCCTCATCGCTGCCCACTGGAGCAAATCATGTTTCTTTCCGTATGCGCACTCTGTAGAGACCAGGGGGGCGGGGTCCCGAGGCCCGACGCGTGCTCCCGACTCGGCTGCATCTGTGGCCCCTGTTGTCCTCTGACTGGCTCTGTGGCGCATGATCTAGGCGTCCTGGGCGAGCCCGGGTGGGAAGTCACGCAAGGCGGGACTCGCTTGCGCGCCTTTTCGGCCCGCTGCTCGAAACGGTGGCGGGGGGGGGTCATGCCACGCAAGTGAGCTCGCCAGAGTCTGAAGGAAAACGGCCTCGAAGACCTCCCGTCGTGACCTTTTCGCGACGTGATTCAGGAGGGGGAAAACACAGACACAATGAATCGTCGCCTCCCAGGAAAATATGGGAAACTATGGGAAGTGGGGGGAAGACAAAAACCCAGAAGATATGGGAAAATATGGGGAATCTGCTTATTTGTGTCTATTCATTTGTGTGTCCCAGTTCCCCTTCAGTGGTGGGCTCTGTCGGCGGCGAGACCGGGGGGAAGTGAGAAGGTGTGGGCCTTCTCAGCAGGCTCAGAAGCCCCCCAGCCTCCTGAGAGTCAGGAGGGAAAAAAAACACAGACACAGTTAATCCTCGATTCCCCAGAAAATATTGGAAAATATGGGGAATTGGGCGGGAAGACAAAAACCCAGAATATATGGGGAAATATGGGGAAATATGGGGAATATGTTTATTTGTGTGTATTTATTTGTGTGTCCCAGGGCCCCTTCAGAGAGGTTTTGTAAGCCTTCCCCGAATACGCATGAGAAACTTCTCCGAAGGCGCGAGGAGGAGAAGCTGGACAATGGATCTTTCGTGCCGCCAATTCTGCTCAGATCGCCGTTGCGTTACAGAGTTGCTCGTCGTGTTTGGTGTCGTAGTTTCGCCACGTTGATCAGACCAGCGCACGCTGTGCTGCGAGTTTGACATGCAGTGTGCCTCATGTAGTTTCGGACAGGCATCGCGTCTTCCTGCTCCTCTCTAGCGGCGAGCCCTGGGGGGAAGTGAGAAGGGGCGGGCCTTCTTAGAAGGCTCGGACGTCCCCCAGCCTCCCGAGAAGTTTTTTTGTAAGCCTTCCCCGAAGGCGCGGAAATAAACTTCTCCGAAGGCGCGCGGGCTTCCGAGAAGTGCCACCGCCTTCTGAGAAGGCCGTCTCCTTCATATTTCCCCCCCCTTAGGAGGAGGAGGAGGAGAAGGAGGAGGAGGAGGAGGAGGAGGACTTCTCCTTCATATTTCCCCCCCTCGCTCGCCGCCGAATGTGTTTCTCGGGTCATCATTCGGGTCTGCGGCGGGCGTTCGGGACGATCCAGGCACCCCCGGACCGACCTCGGCGAGGCGCAGCCGCTGCGGCACATCCCGAGGGCGGAGGACCCAGAAACCACGATTATCCCGGCAAAGCAACCTAACAGCGATGTGTAGAAGCATACCTGGAAGCATTCCCCTTAAGATTCAGATGAGAATCCAGTTGTAGAATTCTGCTGTTCTCAAAGTCGCAGTCGCATTCGCGATGACAGTCGCAGTGGCAACGGCAGTCGCAGTCACAGCCTCAGCATCAGCCTACATCAGCCTCAGCCTGTCTCAGCCTCAGCCTCAGCCTGCCTCAGCCTCAGCCTCAGCCTGCTTCAGCCTCAGCCTCAGTCTGCCTTCAGCCTCGGCCTCAGCCTCAGCCTGCCTCAGCCTCAGCCTGCAGCCTCAGCCTCAGCCTCACCTGCCTCAGCCTCAGCCTGCCTCAGCCTCAGCCTCAGCCTGCCTCAGCCTCAGCCTCAGCCTGCTTCAGCCTCAGCCTCAGTCTGCCTTCAGCCTCGGCCTCAGCCTCAGCCTGCCTCAGCCTCAGCCTGCATCAGCCTCAGCCTCAGCCTCAGCCTGCCTCAGCATCAGCCTGCCTCAGCCTC